CCTACCCTACCCCTCCCCCCCCNCCCCCCCNCCCCCCCCACTTCCCGCCGCGACGGGAGGTGGCGAGGCGGATAAGCAGGCGCAACCCCTGGGGGTGGCGGGGGTGATGGGTGTTGTTTGTCAGGCCGTGGGCAAGCAAGAAGCCGATGCTGGGTATAGTAGAAGCGCTGCATGTTTCTTCCACTTGCATGGTGGGGCCCGTATAATAGGTTGCCTATTGGGGGAGGCGGGTGGGAGCGACCGCGAGACAGTCGGACACAGCCGCAACCCACAGCGCAGCGAGGTACCCTCAGCCTGGGGTCGCCAAGTTCCCAGCTAGGCCACCGCCCACCTCCGGGCGGCACCCCGGGCGGCACCCCGGGCGGCGCAAAGTCAGGGATCTGGGAAGCCTGACCGGGGCGGAGCGTCATTCTGTGGCTGGCAAAAAAAGAAGAAAGCAAGTTGGCACTCGGCTGGGAGTACCGAGATACATATGCCTATAGGGAGGGGTACCCAGTTAAGGTCAGGGGGATTTCTGTTCTGGAAGCACTTCCCTGGTGGGCACGCAGTTCCAGGAGCCCACGACCGGGCAGTGCTGGGTATCACGGGGCGGACCAGACATGGATGCTCTTTGGGTGCTGGCCGTGGGAATGTCGAGCACGAGGTTGGATCAGGGTTCCAGTGGTGCACAAGCACTGATTTAACGTTGCTGGGCAGGAAGACAGAGCACAGGACATGAAAGTTGGGGTTTTTATTGGCGACATGGCTCTCCTTTTCGCTTTATTGATTCTCCATGGATGGCTTGCGGCACTTTGGGCCCTTTTCGACATGCAAGAGACGGCGCACAGCCGCCAATACTGTCCCAAGTGGAAGTGACGGGTCAGTCAATACGACGGTGCATTTGGTAGCGGGCCCCCCGCGCAGACTCGCGGCTCCCTCCCCTCACCGCTGGGCATGCAATTAAGCGGGCGTCAGCGATGTCGTCTCGTCTCATTTTAATCGAGATGCAAGACCCGCCCATCGACGGGCACACGCGAAACAGCAGCAATTTGGACACGAAATTCGCGCGCGCCCGGATAGGGTGACATGCAAGCTGGCACCTCCCCTCACTCCCCAGACAGACACTCCCTTGAGTGTCTCTCCCAGGGTGCGGGGCTGGCTGGCTGGCTGGCGGCGGGCTTCTGCCCGTTCCTGTGCAGGTCCGTTCCGCTTGCAGGCAGGTTCGTTCCTCTACGCGGGCAGGTTCTACAGATTGCATGCTGGGCAACGTACCAAAACAATTGGAGGATTTCGACGGCGGACCCTCCGAGTCCCGTCACACAACCTTGGGGCTGCTCACGGCATTGGACCATGCCTCCATGCCAGAGTGCTTCGTGGTGATCTACCTGGGATGGGTACCTGCTGGACCATGCGGCCTGTCTGTCTTCCTGACTGGCCGCGGGCAAAAGCTTGAGAGGCACGGCGGGAGCCACGTCGGGCGTCAGGAACACTGGCGATGACGCGCAGAGTGGGAGCCACGGGCGACGCTGTCAGCGGTGGTGCATGGGCCCCAGCTGCCTCCCTTTTTGGGACGATGCCAGGTCTTGGTGCTCAGCACCGCAGCGGGGCCATTCCGGAGCAGCCAGCCACAGACGCATCGCATCAATTCCTCAGCCCCGACCGGACGGATCGGGACATTGGACGACGTAATGACGGAGCAGAGCTGACTGGCCTCGTTGCCCAAAGGCGCTGACCAAACCACAGTGAAGTGACTAGATTGGGAGAGCGTGAAGGCGGCATGGCATGACTGCCAACAGGAAGAAAAAAAAAAAGAAAGAAAAAAGACACACCACATACACCCACCCAAGCCCGCGCTAACGCTAACCCTTCACTAAATACACTCTGTTTCTCCAATTCTCAGCTTGCTGCTCGTGTGGTGCAGCATCCTCTGCTGCATAACCCGCATCTTCAGAGTCATGTCCTTCGTTAATTTATCGGGCATTGGGTGCCGGCGCGCCGAATGGATGTCTGGATCTGCTGTTGTGCTCGAGAGACCTCGGTTTCGGCGGGTGGGCTGACTGCGTCGGGAAAGGTGCCCAGTGCAGCATATGCAGGAGAGAGCTGGATCCTTGCTGGGTACGGTACCTGAGGGCCCTCTGTGCCTCGACGTTTCAATCATGGGCTGTGGGCGTGAAGGCAGAGTGGCGAAACAGGGCAACGCGTGCCGCAGTGGCATTTCACTCAATCTAGCGCGATGGCCTGTGAGACACTTCGGGCGGACTGCGTTTGCTAGTAGGTAGATGAACATACATGCGTGTGCGTATAGGTGGCCACCAATCATATCGGTCGCGCCCCCAAGGCGGCTCCTCGGGCGCTGCTGGCAAGACTTGGGGCGAGCAAAGCCTTGCCCGAAACGGGGGTAGCAGATTGCAGGCAGCTGGATACGTCGCACTTTTGAATCTTTCAGGGGAGGGTGGCCACCTGCGCCCTATCAAGCAAGAGAAGGGGATCCTCCAGGCTCAGGTGGCTCCTGTGTGGTGGCTCCAGGTTCCTGAAGGCCGGTTCCAGTCCTGTCGCCCAGTGCGCGGACGGGTTTCCTGTGGCCCCCACCGAAGCTGCAGCAGAACGAAATCGAATTCACCGAACGGACGGCCCGGGCACATACAGCGAATCCAGCTGGCAGCAGCCTGTTTTGGGACGGCCACTTTGTCACCGGGCTTTTTGCCACGGCTTGGACACCATTGCCGCTTGTTAGACCCAGCCCCGGACTAGGGCTGGCGCCGTGGGCCCGAGGCATTGAGCTTCCTCAGGCCAAGCCTCCCGTCGGCACAGGCCACCTACCGCGCACCCGCGGATGGGCTAAAAAGGGCTGGCGGGCATTGACACTGTCAGGCGTGGTGGCTTAGGGAAGGAGAGACGGAGCTGGCCCTGTGCCAACGTGTGGATGTGGGGTGGAGGACGGGGGTACCTGCTAAAAATATGGTGGCAGCGGCGGAGGGCCGGGTACCGTGCACCCTTTGAGGCGAAAGGGAGGGAGTGGGAGAGACAGGGCACGGAGAGAACACAGAGGAAGAGAGGTGCTCCGGATACAAGCATAAACCTGCCAATTCGATGTACTGATCGCCTCGAGCCGGTCGAGTTGCTGAAGAAAAGAAGTACCCAAAGCGACCGATGCATGCCCTGTACCGAGTAGGGGGGCGACCCTGGGATCCCCACCAGCACCTCCCTCGCGGGCTCCACCCGCCGCAGCGTCACCCAGTACCTGCTCCCCAGTGCCTGCCCCATTTCACCCGACCAGACCCTCGACTGGCGTCCACGGCGTGACCCTTCCCTGCCCGCCTACCTTCACCTCGCCCGCCAGCAACTGCGTTTCTCGAACGTCCAGCAGTGCCGGGCAAGACTGCAAAAACTCGGTCCGCAATCGCCTCGTTTGCGGCGCCAGAACGCGACTCATCCTCCTTTGTGTCGTTTGTTGTTTCTTGATAGTCCCTCTGGGCGCTTTTTTTTTTTTTTGTCTCTGCACCCCACGTGCTCTCTCGCTCTCCCTCCGATTCTGTACTCGGTACCTTGTCTTCCCTTCTCCCGACGCTCTGCAGCAGCCCGTGCGAATTTCCCATCTTTATTTCGCCCTGTCGACCATTCTCTTATTCCGCCACGCATTGGCTCTCCAGCAACACCACAACAACCAGCACAACCACCACCGTTAGCTTCTCAAATCCCTAGACGCTCCCACCTTCTTCAACCGCCCTCGGCCGCCGCTGTCGCTCTCCCACCCAGATGCGGCACCCGGCGCCTCTGTCCCCCTGATCTGGCTGGTCTCCCGCCGCACTCCCCCGACGATCGAGAAGAAAGGGCTCCCTGCCCGCCCGCCGCCGTCGCGGCCCTTCGTTTGGCCTCTGCCTCGTCTTTGTTCCGACCTCACGCAAACCAGCATTGGGGCCACCCTCACACGGTCGCTACCCGCCAAGCCACAGGAACAAGGGGCTTGCTAGAACGCGATTCGAAGCCTGGAGCCGGCGCCTGTCTTTTGCCTCCCCCCGAACAGCTGTTATCCCGCCCGTCTTGTCTGCGTCTTCATTGTCTACGCCTGGGCGCTTCTCCTTGCTCACGACAGGTCCGCTGTCAGGCTCGCCTCCTGCCGAGATTGTATTTCTCTGTTTGAGCTCAACAAGGCGACAAACACGACGGCCTCACTCCCCTCTCTTCCGACGCAAACCTCCGACCTGCCTCCTATACTATCGTCCTCGCTCCTCCGGCCCGATCAGCCGAGACTGCTTCACAACCCTGTATCGATATTGCACAAGTTGCTAGAAAGAGGGACCATTTCGGTTCCATCTTAATGGACCGCAGGTCTTCGACAGCAGAGCCCAAGCATCCCTACACTACAACACCCTGGCCGCACCTTGCGCCCGTCGCAACGGCTCCGAGAACAGACACGGTGGCGAGCCCGGCCACCGAGGGTGCCAGCCCGGTCTTTCCGGCTTCGCTCGACCTCCTGCCCATATTGTTCCCTCACCAGTCGGTGTACCAGACGCAGCTGCTCAACTACAACAAGCTGATAGCCACGGGGAGGAGAGGCGGCGGCGGCGGCCTGCAAAACTCGCCGCACTCCCCCTCTGGGCTCACGAACCACGCGCACCCAGGGCCACGGTCGCGGTCGTCCTCCAAGGTGTCTAACAAGGACGCCCCGTCGTCCAAACCGAACGGCAACCAAAACTGCCATGGGAATAGATTGTCGAAGAACACAGACAAAGCCGACCGCGCGGTCATAGCTGGGAAGGAACCCGCAGCCACCATGAAGATGCCTCCGAGACAGGCCGACGGCGCCAATCAGCCGGCGTCGTCCAACTCATCTCGCCAGGCACGCCAGCCGCATCAGAACCAACCACCACGGCCACCACCCGCGCAGGCCAGCTCAGTCCCCTCCACGCCCCACCAGCATGCCCGAAACTTCTCGTTTGAGTCGCGCGAGCACTCGCCCACTGCTACCCAGAACCACTCGCCTCGCTCAACGTATTCGGACCCCAACGGCAACAATATGGCGTCGCTGCGGCCTCTCCCGCCGCGTCTGGGTGGCTGCGTCTTCGAGACGGCCATGATCCGCGGAAGGAGGCGCATGCCCTACAGCCTTGGGGGCGACCGCCTGGACCCGGTGGAGCCGAGCAAGATCAAGAGCAAGCTGTCCGAGGACGAGGAGCGTAAGCTGACCACAGACATGCGTGAGCTGTACGACCGGTTAAAACCGACGGACAAGGTCAAGGAAAATCGTGCCAAGCTGGTGAAGAAACTGGACAGGATCTTCAACGAGGGCTGGCCGGGGCACAACATCAAGGTCCATCTTTTCGGCTCGTCTGGCAACAAGTTGTGCTCCGACGACTCTGACGGTATGTGACCGCTTCCGCCCAATTACCGTTTTATACTGCGGCGTGATTCCTCACCCACAGAGGATGCGTGGATGCACGCGCTGCGAGTTCAGTAGTAGCTAACGAAACATGTCCCCTTGCAGTGGACATCTGTATCACGACCGACTGGAAGGAGCTGGAGAACGTGTGCATGATTGCTGATCTTTTGCGGAAACGTACGTTGGATCCTCGTATAGGAGGAGCTTAGTTCCAAGACAGTCTTCTGCGAGTGGCCCGCTAACTCTTTGCATACAGGTGGGATGGATAAGGTCGTGTGCGTTTCCTCGGCCAAGGTCCCGATCGTAAAAGTCTGGGACCCTGAGCTGCAGCTGGCGTGTGACATGAATGTCAACAACACACTAGCTCTCGAGAACACCCGGATGGTCCTGACGTATGTCGACATCGACGAGCGCGTGCGGCCGCTGGCAATGGTCATCAAGCACTGGACTCGGAGGAGGATTATCAACGATGCAGGTGAGTACTTGTGCAAAACGGGACTTCCCTGGCCGGAATTTGAGTCTGCCTAGTCACTATACTGTGCTATGAACCGGCCAGGATTGCGTCGTGTAGCCTATGCTGACAACGTTACCTTTTTCTTCCTCCCTGCAGCATTCGGTGGCACGCTGAGCTCGTATACCTGGATATGCATGATAATCGCCTTTCTTCAGTTGAGGAGCCCGCCAATATTACCCTCTCTTCACCTAAGTCCGCATAAGAAGATTTTGCCGGAAACAGGCCGTAAGAGCGAGTTTGCCGATGACATGTCGAAGCTGCGAGGGTACGGGGAGAAGAACAAGGAGACGCTCGGCGAGTTGCTCTTCCACTTCTTCCGGTTTTACGCACACGAGTTCGACTATGACAAGTGGGCATTGTCAGTGCGGCTGGGCAAGAAGATCACAAAGACGGAGAAGAAGTGGCATCTGGCACTCAACAACATGCTCTGTGTGGAGGAGCCCTTCAACACGGTGCGCAACCTGGGCAACACAGCTGACGATACGTCGTTCAGGGGACTCCACCAGGAGCTCCGCCGGGCATTCGAGCTTGTTGCCGAGGCGAAACTGGACGAGGCCTGCGAGCAGTACGTGTTTCCCAAGGAGGAGGAGCGCGTCTGGCAGAAGCCCGCGACCGCCCCAAGGCCAGTCCTGGTTAGGAGCTCATCTCAGCAGCACGGGAACCGTGGCGGGCGCGGCAACTATCGTGGCAACCGTAACCACCGAGGTAACAACCGGCGGGCCTCGTCGAGCGTCACGTACGACAACAACCCGAACCCGATACTGGTCCCGGCGACCGGCTTTGCGCCCACTATGGGCCAGGATGGTCAGTGGTACGCGTCGCCCGTCGCAACCGCACAGTACTCCTACGTCACGACCGATGCGCTTCTCAACCCGGCCCTCTTCGCTGGCGCCGCGCTGCAGTATGACCCGAATCTTCGCTTTCAGCTGTACTCGCAACAGCTTGCCCAACAGCAGGCATTTGCAAATATGCACCAGAGGTTGAGTGGCGTAACTGCGCAGCAGCAGCAGCAGCAGCAGCAGCAGCAGCAGCAGCAGCAGCAGCAACAGCAACAGCAACATCAGCAGGGTCAACAAGGCCAACAGTCGACAGATCGCTCGAGGGCCGGTTCGTTTGACCAGCCACCATTGTCGGCACCGGTCCGTCCCGAGTTCACCTACCTGTTTCCGCAAATACCCCTCGGACCCCAGTACTTCCCAGCGGGCTACGCATACCCCTCGTCTCCGGCGAGCGTGGCTGCCAACACACCGACGACAGCGTCTGAGTTCAGGAGAAGTCTGCATAGAAATGCAGCGGCAGGAGAGGCTGGCGGGTCTTCGAGCAGCGGGACTCTTAGGTCGCAGTCGCAGCCGGCGTCTCGGAGTCCGATGTCCTCAGCGACCACTCAGGGTGGTGTTGGCGGCTATCCGGTCTCGTCCCAGGCTGCTGTTGTCAATGGAATCCACGACTACGCGAACGGCGTCCCTGTTCTCCAGGCGCGACAGGCTAACGGCATGCCGGTTAGCTTTGTACCAAGCGATGACGCTGTCGACACCGACTATGACGGCAAGTCGTCGTCGGACTCGCCGCCGCCACAAGAAGAGGGCGCTACGGGCTACTTGGGATACTACGTCAGCGATGGAACCAGTCCCGTCAAGAAGCAGCAGCCCAAGAGCAGTAGTATCCCTAACGGGGTTCCGAATGGGGTTGCTTTTGGCGACCTGGGCCAGGGCCTCCTTGCAAGGCGAAGGTTGTCAACAGACCAGTCGCCACAGTCTATTCTGGACAGGAGAATGCGACGGACGTCGAGGTCCCCGTCGCCCCTCGGCCATGCGAGAGCCTACTCGACGGGGACTGGAGCTACTCCAGTGGTGTCGTCGTCGCCGCTCAACCAGACGACTGGAAATGCGAGCAAATTGTCGATCGAAGCGCGGCCTCTGGTCGTAAACGGGTCGGTTTCGAAGCCCCCGTCGTCGGCGACATCGAGCCGCCAGCCGTCTGCGAGCGAGAGCACCACATCCGAGACATGCAGTATCGACACGCCCCTGCACAGCTCGCATGGTCTCGGGATTGGCGGTTATGCCTCTTCCCTCGACAGAGCTAGCGCGGAAAGCACGCCAACAACTGCGGTGTCTGAGCGCCCTCTCGTTGTCAACGGCTCGACGACACCTTCATCCTCGCCCTTGATGGCGCAGAACCAGATCCCGGACGCCAAGTCGTTTAATCAGAGGATAGCCGCCATGAACTCGTTCATTCCGCCGCCCGTTAACCAGAGGATAGCGGCAATGGGCGCAGCCGACGGAGGCATATCGCCGCTCTATCCGATTTCGCCTGCCACGCGGACCCGGAACGGCGTCATTGCTCCCCTTGACCTCGCGGTCCCCCAGGGCACCCTCCTGCCGGACTTCACGCACCTATCACCTGTCTATGAGACGCGGACACCATCACCGACGATGGTGCGCAAGTTTGATGGCCCGGCAGCGCAGGGTCTTGGTGGCGCCAACGGGGAGCGCCCCTCGCCGCCAGTTGTCGTATCTTCGTCGAAAGACTTCCAATCCGACGCGTCGAAGGCGAAGCCAAGGCCAGAGAATGGCGTCCAGCCCCCTCAGGTCAACGGGAATAAACACGGTTCGCCAAAAGACTCGGGCCAGGCTCGCATGCCATCGAGGATAGATACGGTCGTCCCCAATGGCGGCAGCATTGCTAGTGCTAGCGCGAGTGGCGGCGGAAACGGTTGGCAGAAGACCAAGTCCCGGAAGAAGCCGAGTGACACCAAGAGCCTCGCCAATGGGCTGTCACACGGCGAGCAGCTGCCCAAGAACGAAGCTGACCGCAAGGGTGGCTGAAGGGTATCATGGCCCTCCTGCCCGCTTTGATGCTGGAGCGTCCGCTTGCATGTCTCTGTCGTTCATCAGTGACTTCTTGGATAACCCATAGAATCTGATGCGGTGCGATCCTTGGTATGATTCTGATCATGTTGGACATTTCCTTCTTTCGTTTCGGTTCAGGATTGCGTCTTCAGCGACAGCCGCAGCAGTCCGCCAACATCCCCAGTCACGACCTCGGCACGAGCGCAGCAGCACCAGTCGTCCCCGATCCTGGTCGCCCATCGCCCGCGCGGCTGGGCGGAGCACAGGGTGTCTGGACTGCCCTCTGGCGAGAATCGAACTAATGGGCCATGTGAGGATATCACCGCCTCTTCCGACTCAGTGTGGATTGAGTTGATCGCGGCGAAGTCGAGAAGCCTCGTCGCGACCAAGCGGGCTCCAGCCCATCAGCACCGGTGGCTTAAGGCCATGGTAAAAAGCACGAGGGAATAGTTTGTGACGATGGCACCGGGCCGCCTGTCTAAGCAGCTTATACATCTTCTACTTAGTTGTCTTCATACTTGCGCATCATGAATTTGGTTTGGTTTCCTTATAGAAAGAGTTGGGGGGCTACGTCGGCTGACGTCGGATTATACCACGGCCTCGACCTAGAGCAACGGGCAGACAAAGAAAAACACGATCAGGATGAAAGCGAGCATAAAAAAGAACTGCCTCATTTGCGGAAGCTTGGGAAATAATGTACATGTCCTGTGTGTGTGTGGGAACGTCCAAAGGCGGGGGAAGCGAGGCCTGGAAAGCAACAAACACGCCGGAAAGGGCGCGGGAGTTTGGGGCCTTGGGTCTCCTTTGTGTGCCGGTCCTGAGACGATTCCTCTGTTTTGTTTTCTTTCTTTCTTTTTTTTTTTGGACGCTTAGGCAAACGACTTTTCCGGAGGGGAGGGGGACGGCCATGAGGGGGTTGAGGGAAGGGGGAACTGTGGGGTTGGAGACACAAGCAAACGGTGCGTGTCTTGTCTGGTTTCGACGACGAAAAGAATCGAGAGATGGGGGGCCTGGGCGTGTCTTTCCTTTTTTTCCGCTTTTGGTTTGCTTTTCTTCAGCATACTATTTTCCCACAAGTCCGCTTTACATGGTATACGGAGGTTCCATATCCTACTGTTCAACTGTTTTTTTTCTCCCCCGGTTTCCTTTCTCTTTTATCCTGCACTGGGTCGTTTCCGGGTTTGGTAAAACAAAACCTCCTCCTCTATCGTTCCCCTTACCCCCATCATCTCTTTGGTTCGCGCAAAACCCCCCATTTTCGGTTCGTCAGGTCCATGTGCGTGTGTTAGAGTTTCCGTCCACCACTACAAAATGAGAAAGAAAAAAAAGACCAAAAAATATCACTTCGGTGCAAAATACATCCCACCCAGGTGCTTCTTCTTGTGCTGTCGGCTTGGCTCGGATGTGAGATGTGGGACGTGGGCGACAAGGTGAAATTCAGGAAGCGCTGTGATATATTGGAAAGCAGAAACGACATTGGACCGCAAGTGGGGGTGGTGGGGAGTAGAGAGTATCCCAGAAAAGAGTGAAGGCATTATTAGAGTTAAGCAAGGCGGCAAGTCTGAAGATTTCTACGAGTTAAAACGCGTACGGCTTCATCTACAACTCAAAGCCCCTGTAATTCCCACGAGCACACCGCTTAGAACCCTCTTCACGCCTTTTCCCACGTATCCTTTGAACTTTTCTCTTCGCCAATGTTTGTGTGCCTTTGGGGGGTGAGCCTTTCCAGCGATTCGGTCTCATCCTCCCCAGGCGCGCCTTCAGGCTTGAAAGCGGACAGGACGGGATAAGTCCCCCCTCTGGACGACGACGAATCAGACGCAAAACACTCGCGAGCTGCTTCACGAACACGCGGCCAACGGACCCGCGCTCGGCGAACTGGGAGAGGACCTCGTCCGGAGAGGTACGTCGGGGCGCGGGAGAAGAGTCCATGGTGGTCCAGGTAGGCAGATGGGGTTGTCGGCATAGTCTGGTCGTTTCAGCTAGACGCCGGACGCGGGTAGAACATACTCATTGCTGTATGGATGTGTGGTGGGAGAAAAAAAAAGGCGAGCTTCGCAGCATCTACGTGTTCTAAATTGTACGTGGTGGATACATAAGGGCCGTGGAAGAAAGAAGTGAGAAAAGAGATGGCCAGTTAGGAGAATATAAAATGAATACATCGGATGAACAAATGGGTATTATCGTCGGAAAACTAAGAATACCTGGCGGCATGGCGGCACCTCCATCTAGGTTTTATACAGGAAGTATATATATATATCGTCAGTCTCTCAACTCAACAATCCCCGGTGCCGTACGGGCTCCGGCGCGCGGGCTCCGGCTCCGGCTCCGGCTCCGGCTCCAGTCCCGGCTCCGACGGATGCGCCTCGTCGTCCGCGTCCGGGGGCAGTCTGAAGGCGCAGACGGTGGCCGTGGCGGCGGCGAAGCCGAGGGCGGCCAGCATGAAGGGCAGGCCGACCCAGGGCCCTCCCAGGCGGACGCCGAGCCCCAGGGCGGCCGACAGGCCCGGGGCGGCGACGAGGGTGCCGCACATCTCGAGGAAGGAGATGCAGCTATTGAGCATGGCGAGGTGGCGCTGCTCGACGAGGGCGTTGAGGAGCGAGCGGATGAAGGGGGCGAAGCCGTAGCCGAAGGAGAAGACGATGAGGGCTTTTTTTTTTTGGGTTTGGCTGTTAGTTACCACTGGAAGAGTACAAGGAAGCGGAGGAGGAAAAGAAAAAAAAACCTACAGCACATCAGAGCCCCCGGCGTCGGCGACACGGCGACCAGCAGGGCGCCCAGGGTGCCGACCGCGCCGGCGACGCGGGCGAGGGACAGGTCCTTGCGCAGGGGCGACATGCGCAGACGGCCGAGGCAGAGGCGGCCGAGGGCCGGGAAGACGGCGACGAAGAGGACGAGGTTGGCGAGGCTGCGGGCCGTCATGAGCATGGTGGCGTCGGCCCACGTCAGGCCGTAGCGCTTGGTGGCGTACTGCAGCAGCGACTCCTGCGCCAGCCGCCCGAGCAGGAACAGCGCCAGCGGCACCATGAGCACCGCCAGCCGCGAGTTGCCGAGCACAAAGACCCACAGCTCGCGGAAGCTGGCGCCCGCGAGGGTCAGGGTGCGCCGCAGGACCGGCCAGGAGGAGGAGGAGGCGGCGTCGGGGTCGGCGGGCTTGGTGGGGTCGAGCAGGGGCGCGTCGCCGTCGCCGTCGTCGTCGTCGTCGTCGTCGTCAATGATGGACTCGGGGCGGCGGGACCCCTCCTGGCCACCGTCGTCGCCGTCGTCATCGTCGAGCCGAAGGCCCAGCGTCTCGGGCACGAAGTACATGACGACAATGCTCGCAAACGATGCGGCTAGGCCGACCAGCATGGCGAGCCAGGGGCTCCTGGTCAGCAGCCAGGCCGACAAGGGCCCGCCCGCCATCTCGGCGACCAGGAAGGCGACGGCGGCGTGGAAGAAGACGCCGGCGCGGGCGGCCTGGGGCGTCACGTCGGCCAGGAAGGTCCAGAAGAGGGCGATGCCGGCGCAGCCGAAGGAGCCGATGAAGGTGAAGGCCGAGGCCAGGTAGACGGCGCGCAGCGGCAGCACCGACGGCAGGGCCAGCACGGCGGCGGTCCAGGCGTAGCCGAGGCACACGCCCAGCAGGCCCAGGGCCAGCACGGGCTTGCGGCCGTACATGTCGGCCGCGAGGCCGTAGGGGATGGCGCCCGCCAGGTTGGGCACCACGTCGAAGGCCAGCTGCGCCCCGCGCACCATGGCCAGCTCGCCCTGCACGTCGGCGTCCTTGCAGCGTGGGTCGTCGAGCAGCAGGCCCGGCCCCAGGTCGGTCCCCCTGTCGGCCGCGGGGCCGCCGCCGCCGCCGAGCGCGAGGTGCTGCCGGCAGATGTTGTCCTCCATGATGGCGTTGATGGGCGCCTGGATGATGACGGTGCCGAGCTCGATCAGGATGAGGACCGAGAAGAGCGTGACCAGGACCCGGCGGCGGTAAAGGCGCGCTGGCTTCTGGCGGTGGTGACGGTGGTGGTGGTGTTGCTGCTTGCCATTGCTGATATGTTGGGCCGGCGGCGGCGGCGAGGGAGCACGGATGCCGAGCCTGACGGCAGGGGAAAGCAGCGGCGTCGATTCGGACTGGTGGTCTTCGCCGTCGGCAGCCTCAGCCAGACGGGCGCTATCCTGCTCACCCATGGCGCCGGTTGCGGCACTTCTGGGCGGCGGTTCTTGGCTGGTGCGACTGATAAGCAGACACACACACAGATGAGCTGGGTAGAGTTTGGCTCCAAGTGTGTAGGTAGCTGTGTAAGTGACGCCAATAGTGGCGCTACCGTGAATGGGGTTGTAATGTGTTCAAATAAACGAGACAAAAGACCTTGGTCAAGACGATTGATCAAAACAAACTAGCAGTTCCCATCCAGAGCCAGCCTGGAGGATAATACGGATATGAATAGATAACCGTCGCAAGCCATTCCCCAAACCGACGACCTCGACCGGCAGGCTCTCCGCTGTTTCGAGGGGGTGGATCAGGCTCGGTTGATTGGCCGGCCCAGGGGCTCGCTGGCCTGTCATCGAACTTACGCGGCCTGCGCGGCGCCCGCCCTTCTTTTGGGGAGACCAGAGCGAGGGGAAGTGCTTATCTCACGCATTGGTTCTTATGCGTACACGTAGGTATCTACCTATATGCCTACATGCAGACGGTGATGACGTCTTGTTCAGGCCCGAACCGGCACATACATGCTCGGCAATTTGATCTGACCTGTCAGCCCGGCGTGTTTGACAAGGAAGCCCGGTTACTCTGGCCGTCGCTTGGCGGGGCGCCCTCAGGCCTGGACGCGTCTTTTCCCATGCCACACTACTGTCAGCGGCTCAGCCGGGGTTGACGAGAAGTCCGACAATTCGGACAAGTGGGCGATGGGGAAGGCGATGGCATCCCTGGAGACCCGGCAAGGGCGGGGCCGTTGCCCACTGCAGCGGGTTCTAATCGCCAGCGAGGATGAAGAGCGAGAGACAGGGTCCAGGAGCAGATCAAAAAACGCTAAAACAAGTATATTCTATAGTTTATTCAATCGAACCCGACAGTTTTGCGAGTCGACGCTACAAAACGCACCGAAACTTGAATAAGAAACAAGCAGTCTTGCTCAAGTCCTTCCCACAACTTGTCGCAACATGCATGACTCCGGACGATTGGCGCTGAAAAGGCCAAACCCCACCTGGATATTCTAAATCCGACCTCAAGCGTCTTGCAAAAACCGGACTTAGTCGACAATACCGGCGTGCATTTTATAACGTGTACAACTCTAAACCGGTTGCTGTCGCGGCACCGTGCGGGCGCGAGATAAAGATGGGGGATCAAAAAGGCTCTAGTGGTGAGCCCCGAAGAATATGTTCATGACCAGACAGACGGCCATGACCCCAAAACCGTAGAGGGCCAGAGCGAGAGCCAGCTTCCGCAGCAAGCCCTCTTCGAGGTGCTCGAGGTCCCAGCGCAGCTGCCGCCGCCACCGCGTACTCCGCGGCCGCACCCCCGAAGCCCCGCTGAGCCCGCTGAAGCCGGATCGAAGGCTGCCTACGCTCTCCAGAAGACCAGACCCGGACGGGTCGAGATCGGCAGGGTCCTCGTCGGCATCCACCTCGTCGTCGAGCGCTCCCGCGTCGTCATCCTCCTTGGTCAACCGCTGGTGATGGACGCTGTCTGGGTCGCTGATCTTGTAGTAGAACAGGCCGGGCAGGATGAACGAGATGGACGTCGAACCCGTAGATCCGACATATGCCAGCACTCGATCCAGGCTCGAGACCGACAGCGCCGTCAGGTAGCTACCGACGATGATGACGGTCGATATCAGAGCGAAGCGAAGATCCGACATGGGCACTACCGGTGACCCGTGTCCGTCGTCAGGTGGGGCCGATGCGGCTGTCGGAAGCAATAGGTTATGTCTGTTGGGCGAGGACGGTCCGCCCGAGCTTGCAGCGCTAGCGTTGCGAGATGAGGCATTGGGGCGCCACTTGAGCACCGCGTCCACCGAGGCTCGGCAGGGGTGAATCTGCAGGGGCACGCTGAACATGACCAGAATAACGATTGCTGCCTTGCCTATCGTGGAAGCGATGTTTGCAGGATCTACACAGGGGATGCGTGTTAGCGTCCATGGAGAAAGGCCACCGCCATGACAAAGCTGGAATGTGCATACACATGGAGATAATGTTGGCCGCGACCGAGTTTCCAAAGGTCAGGTAGCCAGTAATGGCGACAAGGATGTATATGCCAGCTGCCGAGCCGATGCTGCCCGAGATGACACCCACTATGCTCCCGGGCGAGCCGTCCTTGATCTCGTTGAGGATCGAGAACATCTATGTTTCTCTCGCGTCAGCATCTCTATCCGCAACCATCCAAGATAAGACACAGGCGCGAAAAGTGCATACATTTTGATGACAAGTGTAGGCAAACACAACGACGGGGAAGGCGCGCAGGACGGCGCCGGGCCCCTCCCACGTCATCAGGCGGATCTCGCCCCTGCCCGGGTGGGCCTCGGCGGCGAAATGGTAGACGACAAGCACGATCAGGTAGCCGATGGCGACGAGGGCGACGATGCTTGTGTACTTGAGCGAATCGAGGCGGCGCAGGAAGCTGAGCGGTATTATCACCAGCATGAAGGCCGTGATCCAGAAATTGCGGTCGAGCAGGTAAGGCGCCAGAAGCTCCTCACTTCCGTCGGAACCGTCGGTAAGGAGGCCGAGCGCCACGCCCGGCATCAGGTCGCCAATGATTATGAGGTACGAGACGCCGACGCCGAAGCACTTGATGGCAATGGCGGCATCAAAAACCACGGCGGCATTGGGGTACGTGAGCTGCGACAGGGCAAAAAAGGAGCTGTGGCCGCGATCAAGGTAGCGGGCGCACCGTGACTGCAGGTACAGCCCCAGCGCCGACGTGAAGCCGGCCCATAATATCACCATGGAGCCAAACACGATGCCCATGTGCGACATGGTCGACGGCATGGTCAATGTTCCTGCTCCAACAACTGCAATATGTCATCCCGATAGCGGGCCCTGTCAGCCATCTCTGTGTTTGTGTGTCCTGGGAGCAGGTAACAGCGATTTCCGGGCGGGTCGGGCTGAGGCGCGGAAGGGGGAGGCGGGCGCATCGTACTCGTGTTCAGCAGATTGATTACACTGCTCAGCATAGATGCCTGACCGGCACCGGCCTTTAGGCCCCGGGTGAGACGTCTGAGAGTCATGCGTGGTCAGCAGGGCGGCAAGATAGAAGGCAAGTGGTACACCAGTGGCCGCCCAGCAGGCGGAGAGGAGGGTGGGAGAAACGAAGCAAGAGTGGTCGCGTGCTCACCTCGCCATGTCTCCAACACTATTTCGCCGTCCAGATCCAGGTCCATCGGAAAAGGTAGAGTACGCGGGCATTCCTCTGCCTGGTCTCTTGCCAGGCGCGTGCGGCTTTGGAGGGCGGGAGGACAGTCGTCGGAAGGGTTCTCGGGGCAAGTAAAGGCGCTCGAATTATCGGTCGGTTCGGGTCGTTGGTGGTCTTTCGTTGGTCGGGAAAGCGCCGCGTCGTCGGCTTTCGGCGGGTTTTGGCGGCTTGTTGAAGGGCAAAGAGCGACCGACGCCTTGGCCCCTCTCAAGCGGCTCGCGAGCCGGGTTGATGGATTGTCGTCCTGCTCTTGCGGGCGTGGGAGTAAAGGGCGGGTTGGTTATACTGCAAGAAGGATTGAAAAATGCACGTCGGCGGTCAGAGCAGTGGATTGAAGGCGTCTGGCAGCAGCAGAGGAGGCTTGGTAGGCTTGGTACGCTCGGGAGGAACGGAGGATGGGACAAAGTGTGACGTTGGCGCCTTCTCTCACGAGCCAAGCGCCCAGAACAGTTGACGTTAAGTGGGGGGTGGGATCCTTTGAACGGGGCTGTGGCGTCATCCTAACCAATCATGTCGGCATGTCGCGACCCTAGGATGCAGCCGTCGCAGCTCACATCAGCTGCCGTTTCGCGAGCTGTAATTGCCCGCCATTACCAAATCCATTACGGAACCTGCTCGACGACCAAACGGCGGCCTACGCCGAGGTACCTACCTACCTGTAGCAGGTGCTCATCTCCAGACAAAAAAAAAAAAAAAAAAACTACCCAGCCATTCCTTGCGGCCTTGGCAGCCACTGCCACTGCTACTCGAGCCATGGACGACTCCCTCGACAAGACTACACTCTCGACCATCGGCCTGCTGGAGGCCCGCCTGCTGCGCCTCGAGCACATCGTCTACGGCCCCGCTGGCGCCCCCGATGCGCCGCCCAGGACCTCGGCCGTCAGCTCGTTACTAGACCTCGAGAGGCGCTTTGCGAGGCTCGTCGACAGGACGCGAGTCTACGGCGACCTGCTGAACATATGTACGGAGATGCCGGGCCTGAGTCGGAGCCCCCATCGCCACCGCAAAACTAACTTTTTCGCCCAGACAAAAAACACCCGGACCTCTTCGCCTCGACCGACCAGCCCATCTCCCAGGATCCCAAGAAGCCGCCGCAGCCCCCGACCCGCCTCGGCCTCGGCGAGCTCCGCGCCGTCGTCCTGGCCTCGGCCGCCTCCTTCCCGGCCACAGCCTCGGCCCTCGCCGCCTCGGTGACGGGCGACGTACCCGTGCCGGACGCCGCCCTGAGCGCCGCCCTGGTCGCCACCGCGCCCCGCGCCCGCGCCCTCGAGGCCG